GGCGGGAATTAATCATAGTTTTCCACTCCCTAACAGGCATTGCAGTGATGGAAAGAGAGGAAATAGTTACAGATTGCAGCAAGGGAAATTCTTGCTGGACATGAGGAAGAAATTCTTCCTTGTGACAGTGTTGCAACCCAGGGATAGGACCCAGAGAGGTGTTGGAATCTCCATCCTTGGAAATACTCAAAACTTGACTGGACAAAGGTCCTAAGCAACCTAATCTACCTGTCAGGTTAACCCTCCTCCCTTTGAGTAGGAGGTTGAAGTAGAGACCTCCTGAGGTCCTTTCCAACCTGAATTTTTTCTGCAATTCTTTGAAATGTGGCAAAATGTAAACATTTAAAAGTTGTTATAGCCTTTCAAAAAATGATGTTTATTCCATTTTCAAAAGCTGTGCTAGGTTGTTTACAGGCATTCTGAAATTACTGTATATTTCCCAATAAATGCTCAAATCCCACTGTGAAAGATGTGAAAATCATGCCAAAACATCTGAATTCCTTCCCTGTCAGATGCACTGCTGGTGGCATCCCCTGTCGTGGATCCTAATGCTGGGTTGTACCCGGCTGTCTCCAGCTGCAACTACAGTGATGATCGTACTCAAGTAACACAAGTTTAGGAAGCTCTGCTTTGCCACACAAGCATGAGATCAAAACCACACATACCAAGCTTTGGGGAAAGTTTTGGTATCTAAACCAGTCAAAATTACTTTTCACTGCAATCTTGAGTTCTTTTCTGAAAGAATCTTTTTCTGCAATAGAATAGCTATTTTCCTTTTCTAGAAAGCATTTATGCTAGTAATTCAGCTCCCACAGGAAGCCTAGATCTTACCTTTATCCTCAGCTACATATAACTGAGATGTAATTGAAAAGATTTTAATTTTCTTCTCTCCCTCTTCTTATAAAATAGGAGTTCCTTAGATAAAACAGCACTATATAAATGATGAGTCTGGTTACAGAGTTGAAACAGCTGTTGGTCGTGTGCACACAGGGTTCTAGGATAACTGTAAACAGGGAAGAGGAGAGATGCTCCATGGGGTAGTATCCTGATTCAGTGGGAACCTGTGGGAATGGCTTTACTGCAGCTATTAGTTTGTGGTGTACTATATAAGAATCTGTAGCTCAAATCTTACTCTACCTTTCAAATTTGTACTCTTTCTGCTGTGAAATTCACAGGTTCTGTTACTCTGTCTTGAACCTATTGGTAACTCTAGCATCCAAGTAAAGTTGATGGAAAGAGATTATACACCATCATTGTAGTCTGGTTCACTGATGAAAGCAATAATGAATGTCATCAGAAAGTTGATTAAAGGAAATGTCAGTTTTCATAAATGATACATGCTAAATAATTTGATCTTCTACATATGGCCTGATTTGAAATGATACATTGTGCTAATGTTTTTTGCTTCTCCTGGATGACATTTTGTGAACTGTTGAAAACAGCGTTAAAGAGGCAGACAAATTAATGGGGTAGAGATACCTGCCAGATTAGAAATGCCAGTAAGATAAAAGAACAAAAAAGAAGTGTTGTTTTTTTCTAGTGCAGTTAGATTAAGTATCATTCTGATTTGATGTTAAATTCAGTTTACTGGAAATTATTGTTAATACTTCAAAATGAATCTGGACCTACCTAGACCTATGCCTGCACTGTATCATTGATACCAGCTGAGAGCTAACTATCCGTGGTGGCGGCAACTGCACCAATCCTTCCAAACTGAAGTCCTGTAAGGATTTTTTAATTCCTTTTCCCTTCTGCCAGATAGCAGAAAGGTTTTTGGAATAATTTATAAATCTCTCCTTTAAAATGTGAAATAATAATGTCATCCATAAATTTCCTTTGTAATGCCCTTTTGAATGTTTACTTACCTGCTTGCAATTAAGACCCTAATTAATTTTATCAGAAATTATTCATTCATTATACTACTGACCGCAAGATTGTTAAAAGTATATGCGGGGGAAAGAAAGAAACAGAGCATCTGCAAGCATATTTCACCTCACTTCACAGCCTTCTTATCCCCCCCCCCCCCCAGGGAATTCTTATCTGAGATTACACTATTGTGTAATCCAAGACTCATGGAGAAGTTTAACTTTTTCATTGGATCTAGTATTTATGATTAGACAGCTTGCAGATTTTCAGGACTACCATTGATGCTATGCTGCCATTAGAGAAGGGAGATGGTGATTTATTTAATGAGACAGCATTTCTGGACTTGGAGGACTTTGGGGAGTCTTGGATTCCATTTCATGGCAGTCCAAAACATTGAAAAAGCCAAAGATACATTTAAATGTCCCTATTCCCTCCTAACTGATTTTGTAGAACAGAAGTCATGTTAGAACAGAAGTAGCAGAAGAATGGAGTTACAATAACTATGGTTTTGTTGTGTGGTTTGGGTTTTTTTTTTCCTGAAAACATTGCCATATTTTTTCTCATTTGTAAAAAAAACAAAAACCAAAACCAAAAAAAACCCACAAAACCAACCAAAAAAAACCAACAAAAAAGCATTGGCTCTAAATAAATCTTAATCTTGGCATAAGTGTTTTTCATGTGCACTCTGGAAAATCTCCATAACTTGTGGCCATTTAAAACACATTAAAAATCCCAAACAAACATATATTACATTATCTCATAATATATTTCATCTCTCTATACCAAGGGCTTCCAGCCACCTCTACAGAAGTAGCAGAATTATCCTTTTTATCAGCCATGATGCTGTACAATTAGACTGTTCCAAGTATATGTTTGGCTGCTGCTAATGCTCAAGCTTGGTTTGCTTCCAATAAAGCTGGGAAAATTCTATATATAAAAGTGTTCTGCCTGAAAGACACTCTTTAGTTACTATTATAAGTAGTGTTTAGTCACTTAATATCATGCATTTTTAATGTAATATTAATTCTTCCGAAAGGAATGTTTTTCAAAACACTTTCACAGAGAGAAACTGGACAGTAGTAATTACTACATATAGTAGCGTCTTGTGTTCAAACTGAATTTGCTTCTAGTAGCAAACCTTACTATTTCTATGGGGGATATTTGGCTTAATCCAAAGGATAGGTTAATGTGCCGTCTGAAGAGAACCCTGTCGCCTCAGTAACAGATGGAAGGAAATTCAGCAGTGTGAGCAACTTTCAAATTACTCTTTTTTGTTTAATGAAAGTAATTGCAATTGGTTATCTTGGAGCTATGGACCTCTATATTGCCAGCTCTGTCCATTATTGAATGAATGAAAACCTTTCAGTGTTTCAGGCTGTGTTCATATCACTGCTTACTATAAAACTGGTCTGATGCTATTCATTATAAAACCCTCTAGTCTCTCAGGGTGGTGATATGCGTGAACTGGGGATTGCCTGTTAGACAAGTTCGACTGAACAGTTTGGTCATTCCTCAGACTGAGGGTAGTTCTTTTTGCCTATAATAAAAATGTGTCTGATCTTTCCTTTAAAAGTCTTGTTGAAGTACATTTTGGAAAAAGGACTTGAAATTTGTCATGAAGTGGTCTTTGTGTCATGTTCGATAGCCATTAAGATCTGCTAAGGTTGGCTGAGTTACAAGCTTTTGAGAAATTCTTGTTTGCTGAACTTGGTAGATACTTGCAAGAGCTGGAAAGCTCAATTCCCTCTGAGTCCTGCCAGCATAGAGCCCTGCTTCAGCCAAGAGCTGGCAGGACCTTCCTATAATCGCTGTTGTATGATTGTGGCCCAGACCGAAGTTGGAGCTGAGAACAGGAGGACTGGGAGCAAAAAACCCCAATGCCCAGTCCAGGACCAGGGTGCAGGGAAGGGGAGGGTCCCTAATTTCAGTGCAGAAGGTGTAGAAATGCATTGCACAGGAGGAGACCAAGTGATCCCATGAGCAAAACACTGAACTGGGTTGTGGGAGACAGACAGGATCTGTTCTTGGTTCTGTGTGGTCTTGACACGTCCTTCTGCCATTGTAAGTCATTTTCCCATTGTAAATTTATGTCAGTCATGCTGACTGTTCCTTTGTGAAATACTTTGATATGTTCCAAAGTGAAGTACCAAATATAAACTAAGTGTTAGTGAATATTATGCATTTCAGGGAGGTTGGATGAGAACTGGCAGAAGGCAGAGAGAAAGCTGGGAGGTGACTTGGAAATGCTGACAAAGAAACCGCTGAAGGGAGGAAAGAAAGATGTGGAACAGGTGGTAAAAAAAAAAAAAAAATTTACACATGAGAATCCACATCCAATAGCAAGTTATGTTAAGAGTTTCATCAAAACAAGAGTAGTATGTGTATTTGGAGAGCTGTTACATATATTGTCATCTTACGGAGTGGAAGGAAGGAGGCTTTATGAAGATTTCATTGCGTTGTGGTTTAACCCGTCAGGCAGCTAAACACCACACAACCGTTCTCTCACTCTCCCCCTGTCCCCCAGTGGGACGAGGGAGAGAATTGTCGGGGAAAAAAGAGTAAAATTCGTGGATTGAGATAAAGACAGTTTAATAGTACAGAAAAGGAAGGGAAAATAATAATAATAATGATGATAGAATATACAAAATAAGCAATGCACAATGCAATTGCTCAACACCCGCTGATCAACACCCAGCCAGTCCCCGAGCAGCAGTCACTGCCCCCCAGCCAACTCCCCCCAGTTTCTATACTGAGCATGACGTCACATGGTATGGAATAGCCCTTTGGCCAGTTTGGGTCAGCTGTCCTGGCTGTGCCTCCTCCCAGCTTCTCGCTGGCAGGGCATAAGAAGCTGAAAAGTCCTTGACTAGTGCAAGCACTGCTTAGCAACAACTAAAACATCGGTGTGTTATCAACATTATTCTCATCCTAAATCCAAAACACAGCACTGTACCAGCTGCTAGGAAGGAAATTAACTCTATCCCAGCCAAAACCAGGACAGGTACCTATTGAACGAGTGTGTGAGTGCTGCATGTTTGCAGTGAGCATCAAGCTGGACCAGCCAGAGAGTAGGGGACCTGTGGGGTGGTCAGAGAGCCGGGAACTGTGCAGGGGTGCCGAGCAGCAGAGGGGCCATGCCAGTACTTGAGGGATCCATGAATGCACGATCCCCGAAAGTTGTGAATCCAGAGAGTGGTGTGTGTGTGCACACGCACGCTTTCACCAATTACCTCCTGTCTCTGCCAGCCAAAGAGGAGAAGTGGACTTGGCTGTCTGTGCTTGTGTCTTATGCCAGTCCTGTATGTGGGTGGTGTTGAAGGCAGTGCCTTGGCTGTGGCACACTGTGTGACCGGCCATGTCAGTCTCGTGCATGTATCTGTGTGTGTCTCTGGAATATGTCCTCAGCTTTGCTACTGGTTGAACCTGCAAATGGGAGAGCAGCAGCTGCATCTCTCAGCCAGGGCAGAGACCCTGTTTTCCGGGGCATTGGGCTGGGTTCCAGCAGCCAAGCAGGAGAGGTCCTGATATTCCTTAACAAAATGCAATAAAATTTTGGGATAGAATTAAAATGGTTTATTTTAATACAAGTGGGGTTTCATGAATGGTCTGTGGCTGAGGAGGAGAACACACGGATTACAGCATGGTTCATAAGCTGCCCAGAAGATGTCTCCATCAGTAAGAAAATGTATTGGAGGATGCACTAGTCAAGGTACCTGTAGTGGTTCTGCTGGAGTATTGACAACATGGTACAAGGAATGGCAAGTTCTGATTTTTGCCACCTATGTTCAAAAAGCACAGCCAGAAATTGTAAGAGACGTTGCAAAGGGTTTTGTGTGTGACTGAGGAAACAATTGTCTGCCAAATGAGAATGCAGTAGAAGGGCTTGGGATGTTTAGCAAGTACTGTTTTATTCTCTAGGAGAAACTCCTTTAGCTACTTACGCTAAAAGGCAGTGCTTCTCAACTACAAATAGGCATAAAATAGCCATGATACATGTAGACTGGTAAGAGAAGAAAGATTGTAATAATTAGAAAGAGCCTTCCACTGGGGTTCAGCACCTACCAGCTTTTGAGTCTTAGTTCAGTAGGAAAGGTGGCATACAACGTGGTACCTGGTATCTCAGGAGATAGTGTTGAAAAGCCCAACCTCTCCCTCCGGTCTTACGTTCCTATTGCATGTAGAAGAGAGTTCAGCTCAAACGCAACAAGAGTCCTTGATCCCAGGATTGTTCTGTTCTCCAACTTTGCAGAGCTTGGCATTGTTACTTTCAAAGATTTGTTTGCTGTATGTTTTTCTAATGGGTTACTTTTATAAGGTATAAAAGTACATTAGAAATACGTGTTTGGGTCATGCAGTGCTTGAATTTTAGATCAATTGCTAACCAAAAATCCAATCCTTAGGAATATGCTAATGGTGGACAGTGGTGTAATAAATACTTAATTAGATTAACTGAATATTTACTACACCATTGTCCTCTACTTGTGTCTTCCAATGATTGGATATGTGTTTTGGTTGGACAAGGACAATTTTTTTTTTAATCTATCTTAGGAGGAAATTTGGCTCAAAACTTTAGAGGCTTGTAAGTCTTGAGGGTCAGTTACCACATAGTGGAGATTCATCAGTAGAAAATGTGACATTACTTCTTGAACAAATAGGCCGTATGAAGCTTCATGTGGGGGACTAGTTTCACAGTATCACTAAAACCACATTAAAGGAGTGTGAGAAACTAAAAATAGAGAAGTGAACAAATCAGAAGTATCAAAGATGAGAATAACTAAACAGAGCTTAACTAAGTCATTGCATGATGCACCAGTATAATAATTAAACAAAAGTATCACAATGGAAGATAATAGATAAATATTTGATAGCTCAGAAACCTAATAGCTTCTTTCTTTTAATACTTCTACCTGGAGTGAAGATGCTTTGTTTCAGAGAGATTCTAGTAAGACTGAAAAGTGTAAAGGCTTTTGAATTGCAGCACTATAAAACCCAGAAAATAACTTAGCGGTATTAACATTTGGCAGAGTTCCCATTGTGGGTGGTTTTATGTGCCAGAATTCTTGAACAAAGGACTAAAAAAGATCTAAAAGTCTTTGGTGAAAATACAATGTCAAGATTGGTCCCAGTGTATGTACAGCAGGAAAATAACTATGGTGTTCATGGTTGCAGGACTAAATGCCCAAAGGAATACTGATTGGGTTGCGCCTCCCTGTCTTTCCAAACCTCTTTTTGGCTTTCTGCTTTCATTTTGTTCTCCCTAGTGCTTGTCCCTCTTTCCTCACCTTCTCCTGAGATCTAGTTCCTACTCCCAGAAATGTTTTCATATTGTACGCTGATCTAAAATACATAAACCCCTGAGAGAGGGACCAGACCCAGACTCCTGTTCCTACTGGGTCCTTTCCAGGACACAGAACCAGGCTGCCTTTTTTGATCTCCTGAACCTTGACTTTGTTGGCTGGAGACTGGCTCTGTTTCCACAGAAATGCCTCCCCTGACCACCGTGGTAATAGTTTGGGGGGATATGGCCTTTTTCTCAGTGGACTGCACTTGAAGGCCTCTAAACTTTGTGCCTTCAACCACTGTTCAGTGTGATAAAGAAACCCAGGAGGAACACTGGTGCTGCTGCTGGATATTATTTTAGTTTTTTCCTAACCATGTGGCCAGTAATAGTTTGTATTCCAAATGCTCAATCCTGAAATCTGTCTCCAAACAGGACAGTTTTGAAAGAATATTAAATGAGAAGAATCACGCTGAGACATTGCAGGTCTATCTGGTTGTGGAGGACAATGTTTTGATTAGTACAAGGAGGGGGGATTGATTTCAGTGGGTACATTTGATATCATCATCACTGCTTATCACTCAGAGTCTCGCATGTCCTGCTGTGGTTTCTCTGTTCAAGGATGGAAAAAATACACTGAGCTCAGCTGAGTTGTTAAAAGCTAGAAGTCTAGTGTCATTTGAGGTATACCAGGGCTAACAGATGTATCCCCGTAAGGTTGGCAGATATGACCTGTGGCAGATCTGTGCTCTTCTGGAAGAGCAGCTGAGGACCAGGCAGGATACCCTGCCCTCTGCATCACAGAACCATTGCCTGCTGTTGCAGGAAAAGGTACACGCAATGTGGGTTTCCCTCAGTACCGAAGAATGAGTTTGCTACGTGTATGATCCATGCAAAATGCATAAGGTAAATCTACATTCATACTATAGTACTAATTAGCACTAAGCACCGGATAGAGTCTAGCTTTTAAAAGAATATTGTACTAGGTCAACCACTCTGACCTATTCAGTAAGAACTCTTGTGCTCCAGGAAAGAAATATCGAACTCTTACTAAACTCAAAACACAAATATTTTGTGTTGCTGAGGTTTTAAGAATTATGAAGAGAAGTTTGAAATCAGATTTGCTTAATGTATACTTAAAAAAAGCCAAACAGTTCTCTCCCTTCAGCACCCATTACAAATAATAAATTATACATATGTATATGTACCTTCCAAGTATCCCTTACAATAGTGCTTTAAACCTTGCAGTGGCCATTTGAGCCCAGATATTGCTGACATCTTAGGAACCAATTAAGATACTTGCCAAAAATCATGAAGTCCTTGATGTAACAGTGAACAGAACCCAGTTCTCCTGACTTCCTGCTTTTATGGCATCATCAACTGCTTCTGTCACTATCTCGCTTTTGTCTTGTCCCATTTTCAAAAGCCCCAGCTTAGCTCCAGAACTTTTTTCTTCTTGTTACTGCCTGAGAGCCACTGCTTCTCAGTCCTTCCTCTGGGCTTCTGGTCATAATCTGCCCCACCACATACATTGCATCTCTCCTTTTCTTTGCTTCCCCTTCCAAGTATGCTGAGATGCTCTTACGTGCTGTAAATCAGAGGTAAACTTGTTGCACTGGTGAATCTGGACAGAGCTATCTCACCAGTGCTGAAGCTGGGCATACAGGCCTTGAACTGGGCAGCTGTGGTCAGTGGCTTTCTGTCATCTTAATAACTTGACCACTGTTTCACCCAGAGGTGTGCCTGTCAGCCTGTGCAACAGAGGATTTTTTTCATGCCATGCTGCCAAATCCTTTTTTAATACTGTGTGCGACATTACAGTTCTTGTATTTTCTAAGGACTGTTCACCACTGCCTCATTCTCTGCTTGTGTTCCCATCCAGGTAGTGAGTTGAGAGATGTTGCTGACTGCTCCCATCTCATCTCCTTCCTGCTCTGCTCCTTGCAACCCCTCCAGCTACCTGGAGCTAGTCCTGTTCTCCAGCAGCAATAGCAGCAGTGAGTGCTAGAGGCTGTGAGGAACTGTGAAGAAGGATGCAGGAGCTGGTGCTGATGGCTGTATGTAGATGGGGAAGTGGACCTGAAGCAGGGAGTTAATAGGGCTGTGCCCTCAACCCTTTCTTAAAGTCTCTCTTAGATGCAATAGTTATTGTTGCTTGTTCTTCTCTGGGCCCTTCCACATAGCGTGGTCTGGTTTTGTTTTTTCTTGGTTCCTCACAGCATCTTCTGGATATTGCTATGTCTCATCCTTTCTAACTGAACCCTTATCCTCTCAGGATCTGACCTTGTGTACAAATACTGTCTCACACGGAAGAATCTGGAATTGTTATGTAGGAAATTAGTATAACGGAACTGAATGCAAGATTTTGTGGAAGGGAAAAGTGATTTTCTTCCACAAAATCTCTGAAGTTTCCCACTCTCACTCATTCTCTTATAGATTCCGCTCACTCACACCCACATATTCACAAGCATCAGCTCATGTGCCTGATGGTCACTGGTGACCGGGATCACTTGTGTGCAATGAAGACGACAAGGGACACTGGCTATCATGGCTCATAGGTTCTCATTCACTGGTGGCAATAGACTGATCTGGGACTTGCCATTGATTCCCTTTAGGAGTGGGTGCTGTTTGGGATCTTTTGCATTATTATTTTGTCTCACCCCTTTATAAGTCTTAGGTAAAATTCTTTAATTTCACAGTTCTTTTGTATTCCTCAGCTGTGCATTTTAAGGCTCCAGTTCTCTTCTCCATCTTCTTGACACCTTATTTTAGGTAATTTTGTTCCTCTTCATTAATTTGGATCAAATCCCCATATAGGGTGCTCTGTAGCAATTAATGCATACTTTCCCTGTTAATCCTTATTTTGTATTTTCTTTTTGTGCTTTCACATGTGCACATACTAATATTCATACTTCCTTCATACTAATATTAAATATATTTTTTTTTTCAAATCTCTACATGTAAAAGGAAAGATAATAGATGGGTACAGGTAAAATATCACGGATTACAGAAAGGAAAAACTCAGATTAGTTACAGGTAATGAACTCAAACTATCGATAAAGTATTCACAAGAGAAAGCAAAATTGTTGCTGTTTTTTTGCATAGAATTATTGGCAGACAATCTTTTGGCATGTTATCAAGTACTACTTGTAAGTGCACAGTTAGAATCCAATTCTCTGTGCTGTTCTGATAACCTTATTAAAGGGAAAATATGACTAAGATTGTAGAAGTACAGTAAAGGGCATTAAATGGCTGGAACATAGATTACAAGTCAAAAGAGAAAAAAAGAACAAGCTTTTGCATGTCTATTTAAAAGAGAGTTGGGGGGCAAGGAGCGTGTGGGATCCCACTGTGTGCCAGGACCCTGAAGAGAAACACAAATATAAAACAATATAATTAGCAGAGAGTGTAAGTCAGGGTCAAATGCTGTTCCTGGTTCTGCTGAGTAAGAAAATCAATGGGACTTGTCCTGAGGTCAGACAATATCAACAGAATCTGCAGTATTAACACTTTGCCCATCACGTATGTGGTTATAGGTTAAAAATAGTCCAAGCACAGCACAGTTTGGGCAGATGGATTTTTTTTTAACAGGATTTGAGGTAAAAATCTTCTAAGCTCAGAAATGCCTGCTGAAAACTAGCAGACAAAACAAAATATTTTCCTGCCCTACTTTCCCTGCTCAGCCATTCCTGTGCAGACACATGAAATACAGAAAGCTGTGGAGCAGCATACTGGTCTTATAAAAAATCCTCACAGACTCAGTATGTTTTATGGGGCCTGTGCTCTAATCCACTCCTGCCTCTTTTATGGCTCTCAGCTGCTCTTTAAAATAGTTAAAGGGTTTTCATTTTCTGCCTGTGTACTTGAGATCATGGTACATGTATCAGAACTGTAGGCAAAGACCTGCAGCTGAAAGTGCAACTGCAAGAGTAGAGGGTTGTTAGGTATTTGGCCATGTTGCTGAGCAAAGTCTTTCCCATTTGTGCCAAAACCCGGATAGATTCTGTGATGGAGACTTTCCTCAATTGCTTGTTCTTGGGGTGAAGTTTCTTCCTTCCCACCATATAGAGAATTGCAAGTCTAAACAATGACTAATCCTGAGAACACTGTGAAAGGCTGGAACCAGACATGCAGAGGTTCACTGCCCACCATATCTGGCTCTTCTGTCATGGCAGGTATGCTGAATACAACCTGTACCCAACCTGTGTTTGTTGTGGTGATCTCTGGAAGCCCAGAGCAACACCTTCGTTGTTCCTTTGGTTGCTCATCCATTCTGCAGCAAGGAACTTCCATGACATCTAGACAGTTCTGCCTACTCTGGCTTGGAGACAGCCCCATAGTGGTGGCTGAGCCTCTGGCTGGAGAAAGCATGGGAATTGTGTCTGAGTGCAACAGCCAGAGGTAGAGGTGATGATTTGCCTCACTTCTATGTTTTAAAAAGCATAGCTCTAATGATTTAATTTCCTGGCAAATTTGACATTGACTTTTTCCAACATCAAGAAAACAGCAATTAATCAGTTAATCCTAAAATATAACCTTGAAAAGGAAAGTCATCTCTACACTTTTAACTCTGATTAAGTATAATTTGTTCTATTAATTTGAGAAATTGCTGAAATTTAGGGCAGCTCTGTACAACTCAGTACAGTAGCATTTTGGGTCTGATTTTAGATTGAGAAAATCTGTCCTTCGTCATTTCTGTGCTGCTTTACATATTTAGCTTCAGGAGCAAGTTGTAGCTTGCTGCTGCATAAGAATATCATGGTGGCTTGGAACAGGCACTTGTAGCTCAGTGTTAACCTCCCATATAGCTTTGGAGTGGAGATGTGCCGGGGGGGCAGAAAGGGCAGAACTGTGACTCTCAGCTGCTGGAAGAAATTTAGAGCAACCAGAAGACTGCTTAGTTGTAACCATTGGATGATCCATCCATCTTCACATTGTGCATCTTAGATTTCTACTTGTGTCTCGGGCTGTCTGGAGTGGCTGCAGGCAGTGTGTTGGATGTATATTAGAATGCATTCCTGTACAGGGAAGAAACACAAAACACTAAAGTCACATTTAAGATGACACATGGGACTGAAGTTGCACATAGGTCTGATTTGCTGAGAAAATGCACTTGGTATTAGCAGCCCAGTGCAATAGGTTAATGCGTGCTTCAGGTGGTGGTGTATGTTTTTTGAAAATACGAGGAAGCAGAGTGGCAGCAGGTGTGAGACAGGTGAGTCTGGTTTTTCTGGGTTTTCTTCTTTTTTTTTTTCTTTTTTAGTTAGTCAGCAGAAGGTCTGCAACATTTTAGGTAACTTGAAGATGTGTTAAGGATGGATTAGGCAGGCTTGTAAAAGAAAGTTGCAGTGAAAATAGCTTTGAATAACAAAAGCACGAGTTAACCATTCAATACAAGTGGTAATCCTGTTAGTACCTTAGCGGGGCAACTCTGCTGAGGAAAGGAGATCTTCACGATGTCTTTTTGCACAGTTTTGTGGCTCTGAATTGAATATGATTGCCTAGATACAGGGCTCAATAAGTTAAGCATTGAAATTAAAGCTTAAGAAATGCTTTAGTATCTTGAATTTATCATTTTCTAACTTGATGTACTTTCACTGATTAAGAGAATTCATGGAGATGCTATTAGAAAATGCAACAAACCTGGAAAAGTTATTAGGTGAGCAGTAGAGCAAGAAAGAAAAGTGCAAATGAAGGAGAAGAAAGCACTGACCTTCCAAAAAGCAAAATCTGATCTAGCACAAGATGTACAGGTTATAGTTAGGGCATTGACAGTCAATACTTCTAACATGCTCAAAGGCAAACTTAGGTCATCATTAAAACAATGTGATAACAAACCGACGTGATTGCCAGCTCCTTTTCAGATCCAAACTAAGCAGTTTCAGATTTAGGTGGTTAACTTTTAAGAGACAGGAGTAAGCAGGGAGCAGAAATAAAGTTAATAGATGTAACTCAGTGTATGTTTTCAAGAGAGTGAATACACAGTACTTGGGTATTTGTATAGTCTTTTATAATGCAAACCTGACCTCTTTTGCCTGTTAAAGAGAGGCACTGACAGGCTCTAAAGAAAATGCTGTGAGTCTTTCTCAGCAGTGAAAAAGGTGAGTGTTCCTCATATTACTTCTTGCCTGTACTTTTGATTCTCACTATCTATTTTTATGCCTAGGTCTCTGTTTCCATTGGTTCCGTGCCACTGTTTGGTGCTTAGCTTCCTACTTTACCTGAGCTGTGTAGACAAAAGTGAAGGGAAAAGGAGACATCAGCATTCCTTATCAGCATCATTTTGGAACACAGTAAATTTCTTGGATATCCAGAAGGACAAACATAAAAGCCCTAGGACGTTGAGGGGAATTAATATGGGAAATCAACATAAAGCGAGGAAGTGAGTGGATGACCCACGAAAAAGGAAAGATGTAGGAGGACTGATGGAAAATGGAGTAGAAAATAAATGAATGAACTAGAGGTAGAAGATGGAAAGGAAAAAGGAGACTATTCAATGGAAAGAGACAAGATGGAGAAAGAATAGAAACCAAAATGAAAAAAGGGGAGGATAGTATAAATAAAAGATGGAAAGTTCAAGTTAAGCTGTGGCTAGTAATAGGAAAATGAAAAAAAAAATACAAAACACATGGAACAAATATTTAAGAGGGAGAATAAACAGACAAGAAAAGAAGAAAAGGATGGGTTTAAGAGCCAGACTGTGAACAAGAAGACAACACTGGGCAGATTTAGAGCTGTCAGTCCAACTTGGATGTCCAGTTATGAGAGCTCAGGAGTCATCAGCAGAGACTTGGACTGATAGGATCATCCAAGTCTAGTAGAAAATCTTGTTTAGTAGGATAAAGCAATGTTTGAAGTCACTTTGTGCCAGAACGTATCTGTTCCTCAGAAATATGGCTTACTGGCAGATATATGCATGACGTTGGACAAGTTAGAAAATCTTCCAGGAGAACTGGCTTTCAAGAGGAAAACATGGAAAATAGACCCTTCAGATTTGAGATCTTCTCATAGGAGGTCTAAAGTTAACAAAATACTAATATGCCTGAACATGAGAATAACATGTATGAAATGCTTCATGTATGGGTATGAAGGGGGCTCCCCAAAAGATAGGTCAATGTCTATCTGACTAATAATTAAATTTCGTGGATAGGATAGGAAAAAGGTGACATAAGTAAAACTAAACTAAAACCATAGAGCTCAACGTTTATGTATTAGTAAAAAGATTAAAAACACAGCAAAGAATGAAAGGTGCTATTGCAGATGTAATGGTACTTGTTATGCATTGTCTATGACACCGTGTCGTCAGGATCTGGTACTATGAGCATGAAATAGGAGGACTCATGCTGTGAAAGTAGTTTATCTAACTACTGTGTTTTGTTTAACTAACAAACAGAGGGGGGGTGTGGTGTGTGTAAGAAGTAACACAAAAGCTATAAAATATTAGAACAAGTTCTACTGTGAATATCACAAGGTGGTTTAGTATAAAGTTGATAAAACTTCTTGGAGCAAAAAGAGGTTTCTACCATCATCTCCTCCTTTCCAAGTGAGTACCTCAGGTATTAGGATACAGGATGATACTTCTTATATTGCTGTTCTCTTTGACATAGAATGGCATAAGTTTTTGCCTTGTTTCAATAAGGAGGTAGAGGACATCCTGTGGCTTATGATGAAGGCACTTTCTAGGGAGATGAGAAAAGAAGTTTGAACTCCTTAAAGCAGAAAATGAAATTGAGTCTTCAGTTTCTGGGCAACTGCTCTGACACATTCATATACAGTTTCAAGAGGGGGACAGCTACCTTGTAACTTCACCCCAGTTCCCAAACTTTAAAGAGAGGCATGCAACACGTGAGGAGAAGCATGTTTCAGAGCTAGGGAAACAAATGAAGTTATAATCATCTGGAAGAGATTTGTTTGATTAGAGTGTGTCTCACAACCACTTCACTGAGCTGAAATTTAGTGGTGATGGCTTGAGCTGAAGAACTACAGCCTGCATAGAAGAGTGACAAAGACTGGCTCTGAAGAGAGACAATGGTGATAAAGGAAAACACACCAACCAAAACCTTCAAGAAAACATTTGGCAGTAGAAGTAGCACTTACAGGCTTTGTGGCGACTTTAGAAAGGTGAAAGTTATTTTGTCAATGTCCTTCCATTTAGAACAGCACAGTATGTGACATTATGGTCAATACATTACTGAAAGGATTTTGAAGTCATCAGAAAAATATAGCAGAAGACAAACAGAATGAGTCAGAGAGATATCCATCCTTAAATTTTAGACTAGAAGTGAGAAATAATTGAATGTACACTGGCGACCAGGAGAAGCAAAGAAATGTATTTTCTATGTATCTTTGTTATATGTGGTTTGTCTGAATTCAGGTTTACAACACAGATCTCTCTCCATACCCTGACCCACCACCCCTTTTTATTTACATGCTATGTTCTAGAATAACAGCAAGTACGCTGCTGCAAAGAAATTGTGACCTAAATACAAACAGGATTTTTTCTGGCTGTTTAACAGCCTTGGTTCCTGTAACAGCAATGTTTTAAATAGTCTGGCTTCAGATGTTTGTGATACAAAATAAAATTCTCACCAGTTAGATTCATACCAATGTGAAAAATGGATTTAGGAAAAAAAGAAAGATACAAAAGAACAGAGCCAATCTGACTGAGCAATTTGGCACCATACCTATTTCAAACAAGGGAGAGGCAAATTGCACGTGAAAAGATGCTTGTCAACAAGTAATTCAAGTGTGGAAGATGACTTGAACATAGGGGCAAAGAAGTTGGGCATAGAAACAAGAAGTTTGTGTTACCTCAGGGAGACATTTTGCAGTATTTTTAGGAAGAGGGAGAATCCCATGTCCCCAGAAAATCCCATACAGAGAATGCAGACCATATACTGAAAGAGATCGGTTCAACTGCAGGGCTCTGTTTAAGGGGTTGCTCAGTGGCTCTGTTCCGACTGCAGATCCTACTCTCTCATATTTTGGGATCTCTGAGCTCAGATTGCTAAATTGAGACTGATGGAGGCTTGTCAGGCAGGGAGCCAATGTAGGGTATGAATCCCTTTCACTCCTGCCTTTGTGTTGCCTTATCATCTCTAGGTAGTACCTTCCTGACCAGATAGTACTTGAGACATGGGAAGTCACGAGAAACAATCCTGTATATATTCTCCTTCAGAGAAGGGGGGGTGGGGACAGGTAGTAGGGTGCAAAAGAATGCAGGAACTGCAAGAGAGTGAAGTGCAAGATGGGGTTGGACTGAAGAAGTAGTGTGAGCCTCCCCTGAAATTATCAAGATGTTTTTTCCATAGATCTCATGAGTACCCATGGGCTAGAAGATGGTGCTACAGTCCACCATTTCACTGGAAAAAATTGTAGATAGGAAACTCCACAAATTTGAGTCATTCCCTTATAGTTTACGGGTATTGTTTTCCACTGTGGTTGATGTAATCTGGCCTGTGACTGATGGATGTTCCTTTCCTCTGGACTTGATTTAATTCTAAGTAAGGCAGACAAATTGTAGGCACCACATGCAAGTGGGCATATAGAGAAGATCTAGTTTTTTCTAGAGAATGACACAGCTTACCTGCTTGTTAATGACTAAACTATATGGATTCTCTAGACTTGTCTCCATATTTTTTTGCACACTGTTTTATCAGTAGGCAGAAATTGTGTGTACATTTATATGGTATGCAAGTAATCTCATTGCTGCTAAAACCCTACATGCTGACAAGACTGCATGCAAAAGCCTAGAGCCTGATCCTTTGAGCTGGTGACTTTCCACCCGTTCAGAAAGGAGCTATATCATGATATTGAGTCGTTGGATATCATGTTTAAAGGATGTGATTTACTGAAGGTGAAGCTATGTACTAGGAAGCAAAATGTCTTTTTAGATGTTGAAATACCTTGGAGTTCTTCAGTTAACATGTTGTACTTTCACATCTTTCTGTTTTCTAATATGTCTTTCTCTCTCCTTTTGCTGTGTGAGACTCAGAAATAGCCAGAGGAAGGACCCTGCATGGTGTTCTGCAATGAAGCAAATTGAACACAGATTTATTGCTGCTCAAGCAAATTTAGCTGATTCTAGTTACAAAGTTATATAAAATCATTCCTTGTACAGGTGTGATTTGAAATGGATGCACTTTCAAGGCCCTAAATACCTACAGAACTATATCTGTGTATAATTGTATCACTCCCAAGAGAAATATTACACAGAAATATTTGTGTCACTGCATTGCACTGCTACTAATTCGGGCATATCTATATGCAGAACTGTTTCAAGGAAGGCTTGCATGGGAATGTGAGGACTTTTCATACTGAAATAGTTATATTACTACAACCTCTTGCATAGATATATGTCAGTGTATTACTATCCTGATATATACTCTGTGTGTGTATATATATATACACGCAATTAATTTTCTTCTGCAGGAGTTGATAAAATCAGTGTATTCTTTGCTACACCTGTATGTTTGTACTCACATTAAAGGACTAGTACCATTTAATTCAACCAAGCTAATTAAAGTGGTGCAATTTTTGTATGTCAGCAAAGCCCAATAGGCCTGTGTATATAAATACTGCATACAGGCAGTATCCAATCACTTCAGGGGTTATCAGGTTTATCAGCAAATGGATATTTGGGCCTGATATGTTTTATCAGCAGTTTTTACTGCAGGGATGGATTCTGATGCTCTTGCTCATGTGGGTTGATCTGAACCCACTGGGTACATTTTTATTTAGTGAGCTTTGAAGGTGTTTGAAAATTTGATGCTTAGATGAAATTTCAAGAAATTACTGGAAAACAAAACTCTGGGAAAAAGAAAACTAGAAAGCCCCTAAGCCTCAATTCAATTGAAACTGAAATTATGTTTTTCCGTGTTTCAATTTTTGCCTTTCACTAGAATAATCAATATCACTACAGACCAGATCCTGAAGTGTTTTCTCAATGGAAGTTTTTCCTGAATTAAAAATCGAGGCCTGCAGGACTGACTCAGCATTACCACTGAAGCTGATGGAAATAACTAAAATTATTGTGGCCATCAATGAATTTTATATAGATTTAAAGGGATTTGGGGAACATTTAATCAGAACAGAACAAGTTTCAGTGTATCACTTATAAACTGTGCAGTCAGCATAAACTGTATAAAGCTAACATTTTGAGAAAGACTGTTACAGTTGTACAGTGTTACTGTATACAAACCAAGCTACAGTATTTGTAAAATGAAAATCAGAGTACCTATTTTACTGGTGCTGTAAAACTTACAAAAAGGCAAGAAGCCAGACAATCCTAGGATTTACGATTCTGAAATTAGGAGAAAAATTTTCTAAGAACCTGAGGTTTAGAAACATGTTTGATGGGAATGAAAATATTATGGAATATGTTCTAGAATGGCTCAGTTAAGTGTGTGTGTGTATTATCTCTGTTCAGTTTTATATTCTGTGGTGTTTTGCAAAACTTTGGATGTGTGCACTCTTACCTGTCCACAGAGAGACAGGACATGAGGAAAGATGAACCTAGGTAGCATGTAAATAGTGAGGTGGGCCAGGAGTTGAGCATTTGTCAGCCCTTCCTTGCTGGGGGACCCAGCTGGAATGCACTAGAGCAGAGCCTGAATGTCTATCAGAAGGAACTCATTGGGGTCTAGGAACAGCGTGAAAGATTCCTCGCTGGTATTAAAACCCCCTGGATGTGTGATTGGTGTGTTTCATTCACACTCTGTAAGTAAAATCAACCTGTGGCTAGAAAGGCATTGTCTACAGAGATGAGGGTTTTTTTCCCACTACCTCTTATCATGGGCGTTGTCCATTTCCAGGAGAGTCTGTACCAACATGTTCCTTAAGGCAGGGCCTTAGATGTTGCCAACATTGCTGTGGCTTTTGGCCTTTTATTGGTGTGCTGCATGTTTGTTAGAGGACTTTGTGGTGGTACACATGGGAGGTGTGGGGCAGAGATGATCTGTGGACTGTCTGGATGAAACCACTATTTGATTGTCTGAAAAACTGAGGGTGTGTCCATTCAGGCTTTTGTTTTATATGATGACCGCAAGTTGTTTTGACACAGGGCATAATCCATGCATATCAGTGTTGCTATAGCTTTTTTATAGCTTTTAGCAGGGTGTTGGTTTTTGGGTTGTTTTTTTTTTTTTTTGGGGGGGGAGGCTGTTGGGGCATTTTTTTCTGAATCTGTGAATATTGTGATCTTGAAGGTGGGTAGCTATCCAAAAATTTGAAGCTGATTTTTTTTTTTTTAAGTGTTTTGCTCCTGTTTAGGCAACTAGATGAAATGGGCACATTTCCACATGTTCTAGGCACTTGGCATCTCTATCTGCCCTTCTTGGTGTGCGCAGACCTACATTTATCCTACTTAAAAAGATAAGCAGGGTTGGGTGGTTGCACAGCAGTATATGCAGACAGTGGGGTACTGGGCACATTAGAATAAATATGAGGGCAATTACTTGGGCCACAAAAAGGGGCTAAGAAGTAAATGAACCCATCAGCCAAAAGATAAATGGGGTAATCCTCCTCTTGTAAGTTTATTGTCTTTGCTGGTATTTGTGGCATTGGGGTAAAACTCATTGCAGCTGCAGCACCCTCACCCCACTGCTGAGTTTGTTCAATTTCATGGCCCGGTTTTTTAAGTCCTCCATCACAAGGGCAGAGGAGGAAAAAACTGTAACTGGAAAAGAGATCATGTTGCTTTTCCCCATCTTCTCTCCAGCTGCACTTGATCACCTTGAGCCTGTCTATTGCATTGGATGAGAAACTGAAGCCCATCTTAAATGCTTATAACTCGTGGGTGTGACTTGCAGAATTCTACCAGTCAAGCTGCTGTCGGGGCACGGTGGCTGCAGCAAGGGCGAGAGGGAGCTGGGCGGAAGGAGGGTGGAAGTGGGGCAGGGGGGCCCGCAGGGGTTGGGCAGAGGGACGGTGCTGCAGCAAGGATGAATCTCCGAGGGAGCAGAGGGGCAGGTCTCCAAGAAAGAGGTCGTCAAACATACTGCAGCAACACACAGACGGCACCAGACCTGGCTGGAGGCCCGATTTTTCGGAGCGCTGATTTAACCCTCCCAAGCGGATGTACTTAGCACTGCAGCAGCAGGTCCAGAAGTGCAGGCGGTTTGCGGCCCTTCCCCCGCCCG